ACATTTCATCCTATTATAGCTTCGTTACATCAAAGAATTCTCTTTTATCAAACTACTTTTCTCCATGGAGGTAATTATAGGTAGATACTCATTTCATAACCATGTCTGCCTTTCAAGTAAGCTCTCTGAGCATTACAAGGCATGTGCTTGATTTTTGGCACAAGAACTGGATACTGCATTTGGCACTAGTGTAAGCACTACTGGAACAAAAGTAGTATTACCTCCCCCATAGCATCTGATATTCCCTTTTTAATGCATCCAAGAATTGCATTTGGCCAAGTGGGAGCTTACGTTCAGCTGACTATCCATCATGTCTCCCAACTTTCTCTCAAAACACTGATTCTTGGGACAGGCTTCCATTCCGTTTCCAGCTGTATGACTTTACACTTGGTGATAGTGAAGCAGGCTGGACAAGCTGGACACCAGCAAAGAAAAGAACAGCAATTAACTGCAAAGCCTATAAACCTTCACATCCCTGAAAAATCTGTGAGTTGTTAGTGTTTCAAAGTCTCCTGCTGCTTCTCCAAAGGCTATTAGGTAAAGCTTCTGGCTTCAGTTCTGAGGGGAAAAGGAAGATGTTGGTCATTCTGAATGAGGATAAGAGTTCATAGAAATTTTATTCCAGAATGTGTCAGCAGCTGGCAGTTATGGACAGTGAGAAATCAACAGCATGTTCACAAGAACCTGAACTTTGTCACAGAATGTTGACAAAGGATCTGTATTATTTACTGTTTGGGGACCAAGTGCTTGTCTTTATTAGTTACATTTTTCACTCAAATTACCTCATAAATGCACTAAACTGTACTATTCATGCACTGAGTAAGCAGATCGTGCCTCATTTCCAGTGCAAATTCTGCCCTTAACTATTGGATCATGAACTGTTTCTGTAATTGCCTACTATGGGACATGCATGAAGAGTAACATTAAAACTCCTGAAAGCAATGCTGGTACAAAAGGTGATCAACTACACAGGGTTACCAGCTTAAAGAAAGCTATGCTTTTGTGCAAGTTCCCACACTACATATCAACATTTTGCAGCTGTTATTTGAAAGTGCATTTCAGAGACAGGTAAGGAAAACGAGTTGCTCAAGTACCCTAAAAACCAAACTACCTTTCTCCTAACTAACACTTCAGTGCATGTGCTCATTAAAACAAAATTCAGGACCTACGAGGCATTCTTATCAGGTCTTGTTTGTCTGACATGATTAACTTCACCAGCTAATCTTTTATTCTCTACAGCCATCATACAAAGTTTGCTATCCATTCGCACGGCTTCATTATATCCATGAAATCCTTTTCTGCTAAGAATATACTAAAACACATATATGAGTCAAAGGGAAATAACCAAGAACCTTGTAGCAAAGTGACAGAAGAACTCTACAAATTGAAACAAGGATACTGAAGTCAAAACAGAATCATAGAATGGTTAGGGTTGGAAAGGACCTTAAGATCATCTAGTTCCAACCCCTCTGCCATGGGCAGGGACACCTCATACTAAACCATATCACACAAGGCATCATCCAACCTGGTCTTGAACACTGCCAGGGATGGAGCATTCACAACCTCCCTGGGCAACCTATTCCAGTGCCTCACCACCCTAACAGGAAAGAATTTTCTCCATATACCCAATCTAAACTTCCCCTGTTTACATTTTAATCAGTTGCCCCTTGTCCTATCACTACAGTCCCTAATGAAGAGTCCCTCTCCAGCATCCCTATAGGCCCCCTTCAGATACAGAAAGGCTGCTATGAGGTCTCCCCGCAGCCTTCTCTTCTCCAGGCTGAACAGCTCCATCTTTCTCATCCTGTCTTCATACGGGAGGTGCTCCAGTCCCCTGATCATCCTTATGGCCCTCCTCTGGACTTGTTCCAACAGTTCCATGTCCTTTTTATGTTGAGGACACCAAAACTGCACACAATACTCCAGGTGAGGTCTCACAAGAGCAGAGTAGAGGGGCAGGATCACCTCCTTCGACCTGCTGGTCACGCTCCTTTTGATGCAGCCCAGGCTATGGTTGGCTTTCTGGGCTGCAAGTGCACACTGAAGCCAGCTCATGTTCATTTTCTCATCGACCAACACCCCCAAGTCCTTCGTCGCAGGGCTGCTCTGAATCTCTTCTTTGCCCAACCTGAAGCTGTGCCTGGGATTGCTCTGACCCAGGTGTAGGACCTTGCACTTGGCATGGTTAAACTTCGTAAGGTTGGCATCAGCCCACCTCAGAAGCGTGTCAAGGTCCCTCTGGATGGCATTCCTTCCCTCCAGGGTATCAACTGAACCACACAGCTTGGTGTCATCGGCAAACTTGCTGAGGGCGCACTCAATCCCACTGTCCGTGTCACCGACGAACATGTTAAACAAGACCGGTCCCAGCACTGATCCCTGAGGGACACCACTCATTACTGGTCTCTAACTGGACATTGAGCCATTGATCACAACTCTGTGTGCAGCCACCCAGCCAGTTCTTTATCCACCGAGTGGTCCATCCATCAAATTGATGTCTCTCCAATTTAGAGACAAGGATGTCGTGTGGGACAGTGTCAAATGCTTTACACAAGTCCAGGTAGATGACATCAACTGCTCTGCCCCGTCCGTCAGTTCCGTAATCCCATCACAGAAGGCCACCAAATTGGTCAGGCAGGATTTCCCGTTAGTGAAGCCATGCTGGCTGTCACCCAGCACCTTGTTGATTTTCATGTGCCTTAGCATGCCTTCCAGGAGAATCTGCTCCAAGATTTTGCCAGGCACAGAGGTGAGACTGACTGGTCTGTAACTCCCTGGGTCATCCATTTTCCCTTTCTTGAAAATGGGGGTTATATTTCCCTTTTTCCACTCGTTGGGAACTTCACCCGACTGCCATGATTTTTCAAATATGATGGACAGTGGCTTAGCAACCTCATTTGCCAGCTCCTTCAGGACCCACGGATGGATTTCATCAGGTCCCATGGACTTGTGCACATTCAGGTTCTTAAGATGCTCTTGAACCAGATCCTCTCCTACAGTGGGCCCTAGGTCTTCACAGTCCCTGCATCTGCCTTCCAAGACTTGGGTGGTGCAGTCAGGGCCTTTGCCAATGAAGACTGAGGCAAAGAAGGCCTTCAGAACCTCAGCCTTCTCCAAATCCTGTGGAGCCAGTTCTCCTGAGAGCTTCTTGAGGGGGCCTACATTGTCCCTAGTCTGTTTTTTATTTGCTACGTACCTGTAGAATCCGTCATCCTTAATATCCCTAGTCAGGCTCAATTCTAACTGGGCCTTGGCTTTCCTAACCTGGTCCTTAGCTTCCCAGACAACATCCCTTTACTCTTTCCAGGCCACCTGTCCCTGCTTCCACCTTTTATAAGCCTCTTTTTTCCTTTGAATTTTCCTCAGTAGCTCCTTATCCATGCAAGGAGGTCTCCTGGCCCTCCTGCTGCACTTCCTTCTAGGTGGGATGCAACACTCCTGAGACTGTAGCAGGTGATCCTTGAATATCAACCAAGACTCTTGTGCCTCCCTGCCTTCTAGGGCTATATCCCATGGAACCTTACTAAGCAGGTTTCTGAAGAGGCCAAATTCTGCTCTCTTGAAGTCCAGTGCAGTGAGCTTGCTGCACGCTCTCCTTGTCAGCTCCTCTATTACTTCTCAGATACATCAATTTCATTGCCCGCTGGTGCAGTTTTAAGCTGAAAGGAGTCGGACTACTCTTATAAGATCACAACATAGAAACTGGGGTATCCTATTAAATAGTACAAAGTTATTATAATTTTCACCATTTCTTTTCCCCTCATCCAGCAACTTTATGGAAATTTACCTGTTGATCAGTCTGCTTATCACTCTAAAAGAGATGCCTAACAAATTAAGTAGTTTCATGGTTCTCATTCACTCATTAAGCCCTTTCCAAGCATGTATCAGTAGTCCAGTTACTTGCACTGAGTAACTGTAAGGAACTGCCAAGTTCTTCTCACTTGGCAGTTACCTTAAAGGGACAAAGGTGTTGGCGCTTTCATACTTAAGACAGAATCTGTATTACCAGATTTCGGAGCTCAAGTCAGAGTTGTCACTTCAGGTTTCAGAATTCAGTTGTTCCAAGGATCTGGAAACCCTCCAGTGTCCAAACACATTAACCAAAAAAACCACACCCACTATTTTCAGTTAAGCCCCTATCATAACTGGCAATTATTTAAAATCAAAATTAGCTTTTGGCAAGCTTTATTAGCTTTTGTGCAAATTGGAACAAAATTATCGATGCCAGTGATTTTTAAGTGTACATCCTTCACTACTAAACTATGTAAATACAGCCTGCCTGCCACTGAGAAAACCTTGTCAGAGCAGAGGCAGCTTGTTGAGCTCTTGAACCAAACCCCTCATCATCAGGCTAAGGCTCCATCACTTAGGCGTTCACAACACGAGCAGTCAACCTAAACAAAGTTGAATTACATGTTTTACCAGTCCCTGGGTTTCTAATGTGTACTCTGCCAGACCTGCATGCACAATATCAACAACTGTCCCTACCCTCATCAATCCCATAGTCTCCACTTCTGCAATATCTGAAATAAAACACCGCAAACAAATATAAAGTGGAGTAATTATTTACAATGTGGAAAAATGCTGCTATTTCGTGAAGTGCTTTGGGTTTCCTCTGGTAAAAAAAATACCTGAAGATGTTCAGATCTGGAAGGAATTAGTCAAGATCATGATTTTAAATGAAGAACTGATTTACCTCTTCTTTGCATAGCTTCCTGGTATACTACAACCACACAGGAATCCTGCCCACTCAATAGCACACAGCTCAGTCATCTGCTGTACTTTTAATCACAACAAAGTAACTGCTGCCACCCTAAGCCTAATGTGTTACTTGCACAAATCCTTCCACATTTTTTTCCTTCAAATGAAGGTGAAAGAATATTATCCATACACTCTTACTTCAAACTACATATGGTTCTTTGAAACAGGTTATTCCGAAGTTAACTTAGCAACTACCTCCACAAGAGCATCACAAAACGAAACCAATCGAGACAACACTGTTTTGTGCAAGATGGTTTTATTAACAGACCAAAGTTTGCATCTGGGCATCTGAATCTGAAATGGAAAAAAAAAGTATTATTAGACACATGTAAATCTGAAGCTATTTTGGCCACACAAAGAATTAACACATTTCTACAGTTCATCATTTGGGCTGAAACCACTAATTTTGTTTAACTGAATTTAAGATTTCAATAGCCTTGCAGACAATAACTAACATCTCTTCACTCAAAATTCAAGTGCCAGAACTACAGAATAAATATTTCTGCTTTGAACTATTGGTAACTATTTTCCTATTTGTCTACAAGCTTAACAGAGGGAACTCAATATTTAAAGACATACTAAAGCACTGTGAGTATTCTAACTTTTGTGGCAGGGTAACTATTTTCATCACATTTTATGGACTGTCTACATACAAAAATGAAAGTCAAAAAGACTTAAGACCAGCTCCCATAAAATTTGCTTGAGAAGGAATGAAATTCAGCATTTTGCCAATACTTGATACCAAATTTTGACAATCCAGTAATACGCTGTTTTTCACAATCTATATGAACAAATTGGTACTGGATGTCTTTTTATTTTTTAAATTTAAGACTGTCACTTAAATGTAAAATTAAGACAAACAGCAGGAAACCATCTACATATAGGGAAGAGGAATACTTACCTTTAGAACTGACAGTACAGAGTATTACCACTACTTTAGCTGCCCATTGCCTCAGTAGAAACTACAACATTCTCCTATTTTCTATGTGTAGGTTATTTGTATTCCGGACACGTACTCTATTTGGAACAGTAGGAAAACAGTGGGAATATAAAGTGCAGGAGACAAGATCAGTTTTCTTAGCTTTATACCAGAGGTCTGTTTGTTTGCAGTCCAAGCAGCCAACTGCTTGTAAGCACGAAGTAAGAAACTGCAAGGTCACTTCCTAAATGGAAAGACAGATTAAAGCCCTGATATCTACTACCTACATGGGAAGTTGAGCTAGAAGTCCAATGAAAAACACAAGCAATCAGCTGAATATCTGTAGTTTCTCTGCCAAAACATTACTACTCTCACACTGCAGTAATGAATTAGACATTGCAGTAGTGAATTAGAAGCTTCCTTCCTGTAGGAAGGGAAGAAACCCCTAAAGACCACGAGCATACTTCTGATGTTTGGCAGTGAAGAGTGAGGAGAAAGGATCCACAGACAGAAAAGCTGCAGGTTTTCAATTAAAAACAGCAGTTTCCATCTTATGCTCAGAAACCAGACAAGAGAATGAAGTGAAAGTAGCTTAGCTCAATCTTGGTTACAACGTCTCATGCTAACTTAAGGGAAACATCTGCTGCTATTGAACTTTTTTAAGAGTCTATGCCACCAGCAGCAAGATTTCTACAAGAAAGCTAGTGTAAGTAACATATTTCCTCAAGCATCAAGTATTACAGCAATTCTGCTTCTCAATGTTGCCCACTTCTTCCCAGAGTTGAGCTAAAAAGCTTTACAAGAACACTGTCCCTGGTAAACAGCTATTTTCCCAAGCACAAGTTTCCATGTGCCATGTAACCAAGTGCTTTAAAACTGCTGCTTCACAGATAGAGCCAACAAAGCAGCATGCAAGAAGCCTGAGGGAGCACAAACTGAGAAAGAACAACCTACAGAAAAGCTTCAAGGAAAAAAAAAAAGCTGCCAGGCAAATGAAAGATATTTCATACGTTTCCTTTAGCTCCTCGGACAGACAGCAGACCTTCATAAGCTTAACTTGCTCTGTCTGCCCTGTTGGCTATAAAGACTTAAAACAACCTTTCAAAAAATCGTATTTCTGAGAACTCCCACAAACAGCAACTGCACCTGTTTTAGGCTGTAAAGTCACATCACTACCCACTGTTTTTTTATTAACCAACACTCTGGAAGTTACGAATTCCTAAGTAAACTGCACATCTTATTTTGAAAAAAACACACACCCTCTAAAACAAGCAAGCAAACAAACAACACAACACCCCCAAACCCAAAACAAACCAACCAAAATCCTTTCCTTGGGGAAGACTCGGTCTTTATTATTCTTTCCACGCATTCCAACACAACGAAGTTTTCCTAAATTCCAGCACAGCTGTCATACCACAAAGGCATTTATTCTTGATTGAAAATAAGATATGGGCAACACCAAAGCTACTCTGGTGTGTAAAGAGAGTGGAAAAGTCAATGAGAAGTATGAGAACTAAAGAAAAAAAATAGTTTTAGCTTTGAATGGCAGACTTCTCATCAAAGCAGGAACAGCAGAATGACAACAGCAGATGGCAACACAGATTGTCTGAACTAGATACTAACTTCAGGACTCAGCCATCACCGTCAAACTGCTTTAAGTATTAATGAACCCTCCTATTTCTAAAGGGTAGACTATTCAAATGGGCAAATTAGACTTTCAAAATTACCACCTTGGTTATGTTAACATGAAAGCTTAAACTGAATCATTCTGAAGCTTGAAGAAGCTGAAAATTTCTATCATTAATATGGTCTAAATTGGTAATTTAATTTATCCCAGTTCTGAACAGGTTTTTAGAGCAGAAATCAGACAATCTGAAAAAAAAAAACAAAAACGAAACCCCAAACCCAAACCAAAAGCCTCACCACTTGCAATCATAAGGCTTTGATTATATTGAGAATTCATTAGTGAGAGCTGAAAATTTTTGCAGAGATCAAGGCTTCTCATCATAAAACCCAAATAAGTTTTAAAACAAGTTATGGGTGAAATTAAAAGTTATTGGTAATATTTAAATTTCCTAAACATACCACCTATAAAGAAGATTTAACCTCTTCACAAATGTTTTAAGCTTTAGTAAGATTTTAAAAATAAAGTAGAACACTATTGTCCAAGTAGCTTTATACTGTAGGTATCATCCAAGCATGAGTGAGTATGTATTAAACCTGAACGTTCAGTCAGTAACGGCAGCAGCCTACACAGCAGAGATGGAACAATGGATAGTAATAACCTTTGGTAACAGCTCACCATTAGTTCATCCTCCTTATGAGTCTGTTGATCTGGTCTTCTCTGTTACCAGCATCCCCACCTTCCACGAAGTGGATAGTTTTCTTCTTCATTCCACCCCGAGGAGAGGATAACTTGAAGGGCCAAAGGAAGTTGTTCACAACTTTGAAGTTCTTGCCAACAGTGTAAATTTCATGGATCACATCTTCCATGCAGATGATACCAAGTTTTCCTAAAATTCAGAATGTTGCTTTCAGAAAGGCTACAGAGCCACTGGTCAATAACAAGCTACAAATTATCACACCATTACAGTCATACCTACTTATTTGATAAGCTTCAGGAAGTCAGAAAGCACCCACCCTATCATGACACCCATTCAATTCAAATGGCTTAGCTGCAGCCAACTCAGGATTACTTAGTTGTTAGATTTGGCAAGAGGCACCAATTTCAACTGCTGAGTATTTGTTGCCAGCAATGAAAGAACAACAAAACCAAGCCCCACTTAGTGAATCTTAGGAAAAGACTGTGTTCTCTGAAGAAAAGCTAGATTAAATACACTTAAACCACAGTTATGTGTAGCTCAGGGAAATTCGCTGAACTACTTATTCGGTTGAACAATGCAACACATATTTCATTAATGCCTTTCCAGAGTCTTCAGTGACAAGTCATCTTCAGTGACAAGCTCATAAGAAAAGCTATTATAGCATAATGCTTCTACCCTCAGAGCCTGATTATCTGTTGCATTGGAAAAGGAACAAATGTGACAGTCTAGTATGAACTGATACACAATCAACTACCAAAAACTGGAGACATGCCCGCCTGCTTTCACTCCTAGCAGGACTGGAAAAGAAGAAGCCTCCTAGAGCAGTCTATTTCTTGACAACTGACCATCACACTTCATTTTAACCTAATACACTAATCACTTTTACGAGCTAGTTCTTCTGACAGGAAGTTTTAGAAGTCCATCTACCAGACCACAGAATAGTTCAGTTGGAAAGGACCTCAAGATGACCTAGTTCCAACCCCCCTGCCATTGGCAGGGACACCTCACTAAACCACGTCACCCAAGGCTCTGTCCAACCCGGCCCTGAACACTGCCAGGGATGGAGCATTCTCCACGTCTTTGGGTAGCCTGTTCCAGTGCCTCACCACCCTCACAGTAAAGACCTTTTTCCTTATACCTAACCTGAACCTCCCCTGTGTAAGTTTCAACCCACTACGGTTCCTGATGAAGAGTTCCTCTCCGGCATCCAAACAATATCTAATATTGAGACCTCAAAGCTATCTACGATGGGTTTCTTTCCTCCTGCAGCACCTTTTCGTTACTGAAAGATCTACTGACCTATTAAAGGTCAAGGCGCTTACATTTAAAATTACAAATTTAAAATGCTAAAATTTGATTCTTTACACTGGTTTCAAATACTTTGTAATGAAAGCTACTTCCAGCTTGCTCTGTATTAAGCTGTTAAGAAAGAAGGAGAGATTAACCAACCACTACTATTCACCAGAGACAATAAGGACAGCTGTCCATCTTCACATTAATGATCCAAATAATGCAACAAGTTGTTGGTTTCTTTTTTGTTAAGTGAAGCACTATTTACCAAGGCGTTTCTGGATCAGGGAATTATCAGTAAGAGCAATGCGCTGCTTGTTGATCTTGCCATAACCACGCTTGTAGATCAGTTCATGCACAGACTTCAGATTGGGATAACTGGAACAGTCAATTAAAAAATAATCAGAAACAAATTGTAAGTCTTTGCAAGCCACACTCCAAGTTAACATCCCTGAATGAAACTTCCGTAACAAACAATTTAAGATCAATTCAGCATGTTCCACATGTAAACAGAAAAGCAAGCAAAGCAAATCTGCCTCACACCAAGTTCCCAAGGACGCCAGTATGAGAGTGGATCTCATCTAGCAAGGATCACCTTTTAAAGCACTGCCTTAATCATGCTTTCAATTCAAAGCACACAGAAGATGGAAAAAGATTTAACATAAAGAAAACCTGCAAGTATAGTGCAGCAAAATGCAAAAGACACCAATTTGTCAAAACTGGCCATTTCACTCACCCCCATGCAATATAGGGTTCAACAATCCGCAGCATGTTGATAGAAGCTTTGTTGAGTTTTACAAATGTGCCATTGAAAATCTGACGCAGGCGAAGCAGCTGTAGCACCTTGCGGACTTTGGGGCTGACACCATTGGTGCTGGAGAACATAGGAAAAAAAGCCTCAGTTATCTACATTCCAGAAAACACTAAGTATCAGTTTAGAAACAATTACATTATTTCCATATGAAATACATCACTATTTTACCAATTACACAAAGCAAACTTAGTAAATTATTTCTATGCATTTCAGTATTAAAACCTTGGAAATAAGCATTACACTGAAATCATTTACAACTATCCTTGTGCTCTCCCTGAACATAAATTCTTCCATTCGCACCTTTTGTTAGTTTCCTACAATACTTTGCCAGAGGAGTTAAACACTTCAAACAAAGCCTGCAGAATGATACAGAATAATGGCATATAATTTTATCAAAATTAACGCAAAACAGAGCAACTGTCTGCATGTATCTGTAGCCTTGCTCCCTTCTTAAAAATCAGGGATTCCTAAAGACAGAAGACAGACAACGTAATAATTCTGCACTTAGCTAAATAAGCCTCTCGTGCATGTACAACATCCTGACAACAACTTTCCAAGCCACTAGTGGCATATTTGATTTGATTTATATATTTAAGCCCTCAAAATAGACAGATAGCAGGAAAGCCAATTTCAGTGACTTTAAACATGAAATTGTTTACATCTGCATTTAATCTTACCCTCTTATCCTGATTACAAATGCCAGCTTTGGTTCTGCTGGAACATAGTAGTTGCCAGCTTTTCGGGCCATCCTGGCCATGCGGATCTCCTGCCGATACATGTGTCTGTACTCCTTGTGGTAGGCCTGGGCTCTGGCATAGATCAGTTTTCGTTGTGCCTTACGGAACTGCAATGCATTCGAAAATTACTTAAGATTTTAAAGTATCTTTTAACACATGGAAATCACCTTCAAATACTGTGGCATATTCTAGAGATTACCACAAATAGCACAGATTAAAGGAACATCTGCCTACATCACGGAGTTTAGAATCACCCTCAGTCATATTCTAGAGAGCCTGGAAGACTGTTACACAGCACTGCTGCTTTACCTTCAGCAGTGTTATATGTCAAGCTTACCCTCACAAAAGTAATATATCTCTTGCCTTGCAAAAAACTAACTTTAATCTTACAAACAGTATGTTTTGTCTTTACTCTCTCCAGAACTGGCCTTTTTATGGATGAAGAAAAAGACACTGTAGTCCCAAACGTTAAGAAAATACCAACATGCTAGACTTAAATGCTGCAAACTTCTGCACTGCTCTGTATCAGCAGTAGTAGCTGGTATTTCAGAAAATGAACAGTTCCAGTTAAAAAGCCATGAAATAGTCACCTTTTTTATAGCCAAAATCTTCTTCTGACGTTTGGCTTTCAAAGCTGCATAAGCCTGCCGTTTCTTCAGCAGGCTTTCCGGTACAGATGGCACCTTCTTTGCTCTAAATGAAAACAGACAAAAAAAAACAAAGAAAACAAATTCCTTTTAGCCAATTTGAAGAAACTGGGCTTTAAAGCTATACATAACATACAATCAGTCAATGCAAACTCTTAACATAACGTGCATATAGCCCTCACTGCCTTAAGCCAGCTCACTAACATATCTTCCTTGCTCCCCCTGTTACCAGGCCTTCATGCAGCCTGAACAGCTCACCTTCTACACAAGACAAAGCACTCTGACACACCAGCTGTTGAGCTGCCCAGAACAGTAATGACTGAGACCACTTGAGTGATAAGAAGCGTTACCCCTACTTTGCTACAATTTGCAGTAAAAGTCTGTTGCAAGCACATCTCTTTCAGATTAACCTTTCAATTGGTGCTTTAAGAGAAAAACTAGGTTAATACAAATTTACTTCACAGGACTTCAAACTTACTCAAGTTTTTAAACTCTCAGATGTAACAAAACTTGCAAGATCAGTGTTTCTAGAGCCATAATTACCCGTGAGGGCTCGCACCCTCAGCGCACCCGGCTATGACTTCCTACTTGAGCCACACACCCCTCCCCGGAGCCGGCGCAGCACTGACCGCCCGCCCGCAAAGCCGGGAGAAGCTATACGGGCCCAGGTCCCTCATCACGGAAGCGGTGCTTGGGGGCCAGCTCTCCCACCCCACTTCACCGAGGGCCGGCGGGGCTACAACCGCTGCATGCGGAAGAGACAGGACCAGCAGCGGCTCCATCCCGCCGAGCTAGACCCTATCCTCTTGCCGCTCCCAGACCCAAGTCATTTATGCCCGTCCCGCGCCTCCAGCGGAGGCCTAGCAACCGGAGAGCGGTAGACAGCGCCTCGGTGGCGCGGACAGGGAACAAGCAAAGCCACAGCCGCCGATGGCGGCGGATTATCCTAGGCCTAAACAGCCACTTACTCCTTCTCCGCCATGATCAGCGCCGGAAGAGAGAGGCCGGGAGCATGCGCAGGCCGAACTTAACCAGCCCGCCTGCGCAAGGCAGGGCCCTCGGCGCCGCAGGACCCCGAGTTCGGGCGCCCGCGGCGATGCCTGGCCGCGGTGCGAGCGCCGGTCTGGTCGTCGACCACTTGAGGTAAGAGCGCCTGGGTGGCGCCCGGCGGGGCGGGACTGTCGGTATTTCGGGCCGGCGGGAGCTGGTCCGCCGGCCAGTATAGCCTTCCCCGCAGGAGGCTGTGAAAACTTGCAGTGCTGCGGCTGCTAGGCGTCTCCTGTCTCCTATTCCAGCCTGAGAACCTGAGCTGAAAGCCTGTAGGATGGGCTTTACCATCCTGGCTGAAATAGAGTCACAGACTGGTTTGGGTTGGAAGGGACCTTCATGATCATCTAATTCCAGCCCCAAGGCAGGGACACCTTCCACTAGATCAGGTTGCGCAAAGCCCCATCCAACCTGGCCTTGAACACTGCCAGGGGTGGGGCAGTCACAGCTTCTCTGGGCAACCTGTGCCAAGTGCCTCACCATCCTCACAGGGAAGAATTTCTTTCTAATACCGGATGTAAATTCCCCCATTCCCCCTTGCCCGATCACTACATGCGCTTGTAAAAAGTCCCTCTCTAGATTTTCTGTAGCCCCCCTCTAAGCACTCGAAGCTGCTCTAAAGGTCTCCTGAAGTCTTTTCTGTTCCCCAGGCTGAAGAAGCTCAGCTCTCTCAGCCTGTGCTCATAGCAGAGGTGCTCCAGCCCTCTGAGCATTTTTATGGCCTCCCCTGGACTTGTTATAACGTGTCCGTGTCCTTCTTGTGTTGAGGGCCCCAGAGCTGGAGGCAGTGCTCCAGGTAATACACCGTGCAAAAATGCTAATTGTGTAGATAGGGAAGGGGGGACGGTTCAGGAGGAGGTTCAGCCTCGCACCACAGTGATGTTTCATTTTGAAGGCTGTGGACAGGATGTTTTAGGCCTGACTGTGTGAACCCCTACCTCTGCTCTTAAAATCTCTCACCGAGATTCTAGCCCTGGCACACCATTACCTAGGCACAGAAAGAGGGGAAATTAGTGGAGCTTGGCGCAGAAAATAATTATCCAGTGTAATAAAAAAAAAAAAAAAGTGTATGGCACTGCACTGGAGAGAACAGACACTGAGCTGTGTGTTTGCTGGTTTTATCTGTTCCCTGTTCATGGCACGCAAACGTAGCACTGAAGAATGTTACTGAGATTTGAGTTGCAGCTGTGTCAATACTGATTTTTGTCAAATAGCATTGCTTTATGCTAAGAAGCTTGCATTGCTTGATCTCATTAGAAACGCCATAAAAGGCCGCAAATGTGCAATAAACATCTACAACATTAACCAAAGGAAAAGGCTTTCTCCCAGAACTTTAGAACCCGGATTCCTGCTAAGCCTAAAAGGCAACGTTCACAAATACAAAGTACCAACAGCTTTTCTGAGAATGGGTGGTTGCACAGGAAAGGAGACCGCGCAGGGAGGAAGAACGTGTCAGTGCTCTTCGGCAGGCGGCGGCAGGCCGCGGGATGAGTCCTGCCCAGCCACATAGAGGAAGCTCTGCCCGGGCACGCCGCTGCTCCAGCCAGCGAACTCCGCGGGCACCCTGGGGAGCCACGAGGCGCCCTCCTCCGCCTCAAGATGGCGCTGCGCCCGGAGGAGCGCTGGGCGCCGCGCACTCTGGGACACGTAGTCCCCGCCGCCGGACCGCCCTCCCCGAGTAGCTAGGAGCTCCAGCCCGCCCTGTTCCACGAGGCGTGGGACCCGTCCTCGGCGGCGAGGCGGAGCGGGGCGGTCCCGACGAGCGGGGAGAGGAGGGTCCACGGCAGGGCGGGGGGTCCCTGGAATGCGGGGCGGGCTGGAGCGGCCCGGGGGTGGGCTGGAGAGCCCGGGGGAGGGACCCGGCCGCCAGGCCCGCCTTATATAGGGGGGCGAGCGAGCAAGATGTTCACTGCCAGTAGCGGGGCCGCGGGTGTGCGGGGCTGGGGAGGCAGCGGGTGGGGAGCGCTGTGTACCGGCTTGCTTTGGTGTGTGTGACTGAGGCGGGGAGGTCTGCCCGGCTCTGAGTGCGAGCGGGAAAGGGGAGCCTGGCCCCAGGCGGCGCAGCGAGATTCTCAGCGGCGGGAGTGGAGTCTGCCTCCGTCCCAGCCCGTAGCAGGAGGTCCCGGGCAGAGGCGGCCCCAGGTGGGGGACCCGGGCGGTGAGGAGGAGCCGCCTCCACCGCGGAGAGGCTCCGCGCCGACGGCGACTGTCCGTCCCCTCCGGCTCCGCGGGCGGCCGTGCTGGGACGCGCGGGTCCGTTCCAACCCTCCGCGGTCGGGGTCCGGCAGCATGAACATCCTGCTGGAGCTCTTCGTGGTGACTTTCAGAGTGCTGTGGGCTTTCGTGTTGGCCGCGGCTAAGTGGCTGGTGCGGCCCAAGGAGAAGAGTGTGGCGGGGCAGGTGTGCCTGATCACCGGGGCGGGCAGCGGCCTGGGCCGCCTATTCGCCCTGGAGTTCGCCCGGCGCCGGGCGCTGCTGGTGCTATGGGACATCAACACGCAGAGCAACGAAGAGACGGCGGGCATGGTGCGCCTCATCTACCGGGAGATGGCTGAGGCTGCCGCTGCCGCCGCCCCTAGAGGTAAGCGGCGGCCTCACGGGGCGGGCTCCCCGGGCTGCCCCCCGCCGCCAGGCCCGGGCGCTGCCCCTTGCCCTTCACCTGCAGGGCCGCGGAAGGATTAGCCGCAGCTGCGCGCCCGACGGGCTGCGTCCCGGAGCCATTCTCGCATACAGCGGGCAGGTGAAACCGGCTCCGGGCTGGACTCCGCCGGGCACGGGGCCGTCGGACGTCCGGTCAGTGCCTCTGCCAGTCGGGCCGACCCCGTGCCCTGGGGAGACCTGCTTCGTGTAGCTTGGGACTTCGACAGCGGCTCTAAACCATGCAGCTTTTCTTAAAACGCTTTGGCAGCAATAGTAAATAGACAAGTCCTTGTGTACTGTGGCAACACCAAAGCAAATAGAAGTTTTACTGTAGTGGAAATGTATTTGCTGTTTCCACTCAACTACTTGTTTGAATGTCAAATACATAATACAAGTAAGAACTTAATCCACATTCCCCACCCACCCCCTTTTGTTCTCTTGTCTATATTCCTTAGTAGCTGCAGATGGAGAGAAAGATGCGCTGCCCCATTGCAACTTGCAGGTTTACACGTACACCTGTGATGTGAGCAAAAGAGAAAATGTCTACTCAACAGCGGAGAGGGTCCGCAAAGAGGTTGGCGAAGTGTCTGTCCTGGTTAACAATGCTGGCGTGGTCTCTGGGCACCATCTTCTAGAGTGTCCTGATGAGCTTATTGAGAGGACCATGATGGTCAACTGCCATGCACACTTCTGGGTAAATATAAACTCCATTCTGCTGCCCTTCTTGTCAGTTAATTTTGGGAAACTAGCTGCTGTTGCTTAGTTCCTGTCTCCTTGAGATTTGCAATTGCTCCCTCTCACTTGCGGGCTCAGTGCTTTGAGGGTTTCTTGTCTTTAACTTTTTTGTTTAGCAGGAATGGTGGGTATTATTAACAAATACCTTTAACTCAACTATATATTCCTCTAACTCAGTTCCAAGTTCTGTGTCCTATTTTCTAGCCCTGGATATGCTTTGCAAGCATAACCTCTGAATCTGTGTAAAGTTTGTTACTGTTAATGAATGGTTTCTAAGCTTTCCTCCTATAGTCTTCTGCCAGCATGCTAACAGCTTTAACATGCTCTTTTAATGATAGCTGCAATACCAAACTTGCACATTTCTGGAAAAAAATACTTAAAACCCCTGCTGGAAATGTTGCTTGAATTGCCTTGGAGGCAAATTGTTCCTTTTGACGGCTGGGAGGATGGCGAAAAAGATTTCTCAAGAAATCAAGCCAAGAACACTTTTTCAGGAATCCTGTGTATTTGTCCTCATAGCTTTCTCTGGGGGCTGCCAGGAGAAGTAAGAAAATCTTTACCATGGTTTCTGGGGCAATATTGTCTCCATAACGAGCAGATGTTAATCAAGGAGAAGAAGTTACATGATCTTACTCTATCTCAACCTTGTTTTCCTGTATGGTTTATTTTTAAATCCGTGGTGGTGTGGAGTTACATAAACTGGAGTGTTGAAGGAGGGCATGAGGCACAATTGGGTTAGCATTAGCTGTCAGACTGAGCCCATTGTTAGTACTAAAACTGTTCTTTGGTCCTTCAAATAATGTTATGAAATACACTTGCATAATAATCAAAGGATTAAGCAATCTGAAATATACTTCAGTTTAAGCCTTCTTTGGCTTTTCTTACCTTTTCATAACAAAATTCTGTAAAATGCCTTATCTTCAGAATTTATTAGGCCCTCCCAAACCTGATTTTTTTTTTTTTTTTTAATGTGGAAGAGAAATGCTGTTTCATAACCCTAAAGGAGCCCCTTCAAATCTGTGCTGTGAAACACCTAATGGCAGAGCAGTCTTTTCCCACTGTATTGTAAAGCTTGCAGAGAGAGTTGCTTAAACTTCCATGCACACAAGATAGTGTGTTTGGAAACTCTTTCAAACTCTGAAAATATGTTTTAAGACAACTTGAAATGTTCTGAGAAAGCTCATATGACTACTTACAACTAAGAGCTCTGCATGTTTGCCTTCATAAAAGTTAAATTGATGCTTAAACAAACAGTGATGTGCACTAGATTTAATGACTGCTATTGATGTGGTTTAAATGCTGAATTGACAAAGTTTCCAAGAAGTCTAAATTATGACATCACCATGAATTAAAATATGGGAGGATCCTAAATTCTCCAGCTGTTCTTCCTTCAGGCCCAAGCCATACACTTATTTATAACTCTTTTTCAGAGACCTTTTTAAAGCACCTTCTGTGTGTTATAGAAAACTAAACTTAGTCTAGTATTGGCCGTGATTGTGTTTCCATAAGTTTTATTCATCTTCAAATGTTAGTGTGAAGTGACTTTAAAATTAAAAAAAAAACAAAAACCAAAAAGCAACCCAAAACCAAAAATATTCCAAGAAGGTATAGTTAGATGTGAACTGTGGAACTTGAAATCTTGGCTTAAGCTTCTAAGGAGCAGTCAACACACCAGTTGAGGATCTGTTCATATGTATGCTT